TTTGGGGGTGGGGGCAGGAGGGGTGTTAGATAGATATAGAGTTGTAGTAAGTAGATAGAGTTCGCTATGATTTAGTTTTCGTTTATGCATAGGGTAGATTCTTTTAATTACATTTCCTTTTTTGTTTTGTGTATTTTATACATTTTGGATTTGCTTGGCGAGTTATTTTTAGAACATGCCCCGCGGGCGACTCACGTTGCCTCTGCGGGCGACCAAGTGCCCGCGGGCACCGTGTTGGCTACCCCTGCACCAGACCATCCTTCGATGAAATCCTCTGACACTCGTCCCGCCCCCTTACTGTGTATCGCTCACTGATTGGACGATGCAGCGCATGCAATGATCTGATGCTTCTTGACATGAGAGCAGTTTCCCAGCGGAGTGAAGAAAACACATGAAACTCACGAGACTCACTCCTCAGTTTATACTGTGTTTTGTTTCAATTCATGCATCATTCAGTTACAAATATGTGATATATCTGAACAACAAAGTGGTCAAAAATTATTTTATTCATTTATTGGAAACATTTTCATGATCGCTTTTTCCGTTTTACATGTTCATTTATTGTCATTTCCATTCAGTCAGTCATTAAGTGCTATTTAACATGTTAATTTGCTACATATCCACACAAACAGACAAAGTGTGCAATCCAATAAATGTTAATCTAACTGGGTTTTGATAGATAACTTATCTCTTTTTCTTCTCTCAATTATTTTATTTCTATTGTGCACTCTAATCAATAATAATCCAACTATTGTTCGTTTATACATTTTAAGAATGGCGTTTATCTTTTTTGAGAATGACTTCTTATTTAATGTATTTGGGTCTACAACAGATGATACAAATGTTTGTGTCAGTAAATGTGTACTAACGGAGGCGGGGGTGTTTGTGAAAACAACGGGGACAGAGCTGGCTGCTGTCAGACGATCAGCTGTGCAGCGTCATCACAAACGGACATCGCTTCACGTGACGCTCCGGAGGAAAGGACGTCCCATTGCTCTTAAAACTCATTTCCCTGCTTCTCGTGGTTTCCTTGTCTCTCCATGCTTCCCTGGTGGGAGGGACTAGTCGCAGGGAAACGACGCAAGTGAGGGACGCAAGGAATCCATTTAACCGAAGTGAAACGCAGCCAAGGAAACCACGAGAAGCAGGGAAATGACTTTTAAGAGCAATGGGACGTCCTTTCCTCCGGAGCGTCACGTGAAGCGACGTCCGTTTGTGATGACGCCGCACAGCTGATCGTCTGACAGCAGCTCTGTCCCCGTTATTTTCACAAACACCCCCGCCTCTGTTAGTACACATTTACTGACACAAACATTTGTATCATCTGTTGTAGACCCAAATACATTAAATAAAATAAGAACTCATTCTCAAAAAAGATAAACGCCATTCTTAAAATGTATAAACGAACATTAGTTTGATTAATATTGATTAGAGTGCACAATAGAAATAAAATAATTCAGAGAAGAAAAAGAGATATGTTATCTATCAAAACCCAGTTAGATTAACATTCATTGGATTGCACACTTTGTCTGTTTGTGTGGATATGTAGCAAATTAACATGTTAAATAGCACTTAATGACTGACTGAATGGAAATGACAATAAATGAAAATGTAAAACGAAAAAAGCGATCATGAAAATGTTTCCAATAAATGAATAAAATAATTTTTGACCACTTTGTTGTTCAGATATATCACATATTTGTAACTGAATGATGCATTCATTGAAACAAAACACAGTATAAACTGAGGAGTGAGTCCCGTGAGTTTCATGTGTTTTCTTCACTCCGCTGGGAAACTGCTCTCATGTCAAGAAGCATCAGATCAGTGCATGCGCTGCATCGTCCAATCAGTGAGCGATACACAGTAAGGGGGCGGGGCGAGTGTCTGAGGATTTCATCGAAGGATGGTCTGGTGGTTCCTCGATTATAGCTCCTCCATTATCGCTCCTCGCTCCTCTGGCAAAAATAAGGCCATTGGGACGCTACTCAAGATGGCGCAGATAAATCAACTTCCGGTGAGACCGAGACCGAGGGTGTTTCTCAATCGCGAGTACGCTTGCTTGGTAGCACATGTCTGCCGAGCATCTTGCTTCAGAAGCGAGGCAAGAATACTTCCTGGCATTCGGAAAACGAAGAGTGGAACACGCTAGCAAGTGTGCAGGTGTGCGTCATATGAGAGGCCCCGCCTTACATCTTTCGCCACAGATTTGGGGAAATTGGTTTGTGCGCAAAGCATTGTGGGGATTTTAAGACCGCGGAGTCTACTCATGTGCAGCCCAAGCGGCAAACTCTGGGGAAGAGCCGGGACGCCAATACGGAAGTGCCACAAATTGCAGTTCATATATTGGCCGATAGGCGATGACTGCAGAAAGGAGCAATTTCCATAGACCCCCATGTTAAAATGCCCAATTTCACAGCAGAAAAAAACCGTTTCTAGCCCTGGCTGCAATACATTTTATTATGTATATAGTTAGATTCCACCTTCATGATTATGAATCTGTGAGTGAATTGTTTTCTAACATGACCCTTTTATTTATATTAGGTCTTAAAGTTTTTGCATAAATTAGGGCGTGGTCACATTGAGTGACAGCTCTGTCAAGTGACTGCTGCTGTTAGCTTCTTGTCTCTCTGCTAGCTGCTCCGTCTCCGTGAAGCTACAGGGACTCTGCCTGCTGAGTTCATCCAGGGAACACAACTTGACCCCGGCCGTGTTTGTTTGTTCTTCATGCTTATATATCGGACTATTGTGACTCGCTCTGCGGTTAAAACAGACGGTGCATGAATGCCGTTTTGCGGTAAGTGAAATTCGAGTACTTATGTGTTTATGATTTTAATCAGCTACGTAATGAATGTTAAAGGGCCCATGTCATGGCCATTTCCACTGATCATAATTACATTGTTGAGGTATACTAAAATAGATTTATACTGTGCAATTTTCCAAACTCACATTGGTTTCGCATACAGCATCTCTGTCAAGCATGTGTATTCAGCAGTATTCACTTTCTCCACTAAACGACTCGTTGGAGCTCTTGCCCCCCCCTCCCTGTGAGCCTAGTGTGCTCCGATTGGTCAGCTCGGCCACTCGTTCTGATTAGTCAACCACCAGAGAGGCTGCGCCCATGTCAGTGCTTTTCCCGGCTGCTCTCAGCGTAACATCAGTCTTATCATGGCGTCGGTACAGCGGTATATTTTATATACATATATATTTTTAACTGTTGTTATAGAAGAGTGTGACGGCCTCAGGGCCTTTGTCTTACGGTGGGGTGGAGCTGAAGAGGGTAATCAGCGCGATCACGGACACCTCCGTAGCTGGTGCTATTAATCCCAGCGGCCCGGAGTCTCTCTCCAAAGCAGCTGCAGAAGGACGAACTGAGCGACCCTCTCCCCTCGACCACCTGTCTCTACATTTACCACAATAAATGTGCCGTGGTTTTGTAAACTCGTGTATGTCTCCTTGTCTTTCCGTTGTGGCCTACGAGCTACTCTCATAACAAAGAGTAAGTTATTTTTACCCGTTATAAACTACTACTGTTTGATGAGAAATCAAATCATGGTTTGCTATATATGAATTCAGGGAAGAAAGGATAGGCCTACTAAGTATTTCCATTAAACTTTATTTTTAGAAATGTACAAAATGAACATAAATATACATATATACACGGTATATCATCCATTCCTCCTCCTCGCATCTTGCCTGCGCACAGTCGGTGCGGTGCCTTTTAGCACCCTCAGTAGTAGTAGAATCCCTTCCCCGTCATGGATTGTCCGCCAGGATCTGGCTGGACGAAATCAAATGCAAATCACAAAATATTAGAGAAACTTAGTTGTTTTAGATTCGTTAGTAGTAGTTGTGTAATGAACAGCTTGCCTGCTAATATGCTAACCTAGCTTTGTTTACCTTGGTAGCTAACACGATATGAACGTTAGCTTGGAGGAAAGGCAACTATAATGCAGTGTAATAAAACTACTATGAACAAAAGCTAGTGGTTCATATTAGGCTAGCAATAACGTGTTTATAATTGCAATCGTATACGGGTATTCTGCTACGTTCGGTCATACAATGTAACTTGCATGAATACATTGTTTTGCGCTAGCATACAGCTAGCCTCGTTAGCTACATGCAGTATATGTACGGTCACAATGTACGGTAAATCACAGTACAGTATACTGTATGAGTATTCCGTGTGTGTGACTGCAGACATTCTCCTGCCATGACAAACATGTAAGGCCATCTGCTGACATTGTAGTTGATATATTTAAACGCTAGCAACGTAGCATCACAAAAATGTTTTTCTGACCAAAACTAGCTCTAGCTCCGTGTGTTAGATCGCTACGCCAGCTATAATGTAATTACGTTTCGCGACTGACCGGCAAATCACCCAGAGTATACTGTCAATAGGTATTTTGTGTGTGAATGCAGACATTCTCCTGCTATGAGATACATGTATGCAAGGCCATCTGCTGATATTAGAGTTGATATATGGAAACTCTAGCAACTTAGTTAGCACAGTTAGCACTGTGTCAATGGCTTAGCAGTCCAACACAGTTTACACATTTAAACAGTCTTGTTTGATAAATACACAAATAACAATGCAAACTTACAGGTTGTATACCCAGATCTTCCCCTGCTCCAAACGGTCCAAACAAGCTGTGCATATCCGGCCTCAAACTGGGCAATGTTTTGGAAGCTTTCGTCTGTGAAATGCCGGTTCTTCGAACCTCTGGAGGAGGAACACGACGCTGCTGGTGTGGCCATAGCTCTTGGGGATTGGTCCATTTCGTTCCGGGTACCGCATGACATCAGGCGGTACCCGGAACTAAATGGAAGACTCAAATGGGCAGTGACGTATCTCCAACGAGGCGTTTTGGGGAGGTATTTTCTGTGTTAGAGTTTTACTCGCTACAGGGTGTACTTTGAGGGTTTTGACTCTGCACACCGTTTACATGCATAAAAACCTTCATAACACACAAGGGGACGGGTAATAACCGGAAAAGCATGACATGGGAGCTTTAAGGCTTGGATTAGCGTGTAAGTGAGTGGTAGCTACATCGGTGCTAACCATGCTAATCGTAGCCTCCAAGTTAACTTAAAACCATAGACCGTATATATAAAGGTTAAAACGAAATAGACAAGTGTTAAGCGTTAAGTGGGATAATACTGGAGAACAAAAGGCTTCTGTTTGAGGTTGATAAAATAAGGTCATCCTTGTAACTTAGAGAGATATTTTATTATGTAGGTAGGAACTGTATGCATCGCTAAGGTTAATTTAAATTGGCTATGCTCGAGTATGTAGACAAGCTAACGTCGAAGTAGTGTATGTGAAATCAACCTCACAATAAGATGTGTGTATATTACAATTATTAATGTCATATTTCAAGATGATTACTTAGATATTACAATATGGTTGGTTGAGCTGGAGTTCATTATTGAGCTTACACGTTAACATCACAGTCATCTGAAGAACGAACCCAAACCTTGTTGTTTTTATTAATTGCATTACCAAATTGGTATCAAATAAACATTGGTAACACAACTTCCAAAGTTACAGTAAAATAAAAAGGACCCTGACTCGGACAATACACAATCCAACATGTTCAACAGAAGATAATAAGTTATATTGTTTGTACACATGGTACTTTACATATCTGTTTGTTTAAAGTGTGCAGGTGATGACAGGCTGGACCAGGGAGTGAGAGACAGAACTGGACTCCTCACAGCAGTGAACTTCAGCACAGGTACAAATACTCTTTTTTCATACAGTACAAAGAATCAAGAAAGATATTGGTTTAAATAAATGAAGTATTGACTTTAATACACTGATATACATTCCATTAAACAATACTAAATACTAGATCACCTACACATCAGTGAAGTTGAGGGTTTTTTCCATGCAAAGGGTTACATTTAGATGTTAACAAGCAATATGACTGTCAGCTTTCTAATTTAAGGTATTGAAGGCAAAGATATTTAACGCATAGTGACAACTGCTATTTATCTCTCAATATTGTCTGTAAAAACGTGGTAAAAGTTATTCTTTCAGTGAGACAACAGAGCAAGCTTCTACAGTTGCACTAAGTTTTGATAACAGTTAAATATTATTTTGATAATAAAATATATTTCAATGTTGATGAATTTCATACTGTTCATTCATAATCTGATTGTCTTTGTAGCTCACTGTTGAAATAAAATAAAACATTACAATTACAAAATAATTATATCTACAGCCCCTAAACACAAGCACACCTCTTTCATAAATAACACACTTGTTCTGCAATAATATGTTTTATGTTTCCTGTAATTTTTGTTAGGAAAGGACATGCCTGAAAGACACGACTCAACATTTTCTCCTTCTCTGAGGGTCAAGAAGAACATCCAAGAGGAAAATTAAAAGCTGATGTTATGAGATTTTAAGACCAGTACAGGACATTCACTAAGAAACTACTTTTATTGTGAAGTCAGCTGATCGAATGCACCTATTTCCACATCTACACTCCATCAGCTGATTAATTCTATTTGCCTCACTTTATGAGCTTCACAACACCTGTACCTTGTACCGCAGAGTTTGCAACGTCACAAATAAATGGGGCCAATCTTCAGTCGGATGTGTAATCTAACATTTTCAGTAAGAATAATGGACAAAAGGAGTGCAAATACAAATTCAATTTATTGAAATCTGAACCAAAAGTTAATCAAACATGTTTTAAATAAAAAAGCACATATGGACAGAAGGTGTAAACCTATTAAATGTATAAGTAAACACATTTAGTCAAATAAAGTGACAGACAAGGCCTGTGCAGTTGGTATCAGCTATGCATGGGCTCCTCCATCAGGCCTGGTCCTCCTCGCAGAGGAAAGACCCTCAGTCCTCTCCAAACCAACAGACTGGACGTCCATCACACGGAGGTTTCTCCCTGAAGTCTCTGCAGCTCTCTGGACACCACGCTGTCTCAATACGTCCACACTGAATATGAGTGGGGGAAAATGAAAATAATAAATGCTTTAGACAATAAGAAATATAAAGTTGACTGTTGAGTTGCTCAGTTTTTTTAGATTGTCAATACTATTACTGTATAACTAATATCCCAGGTTAAGAGGCACCTTCAAATAAAGATTGGTCTTTAAATACATTTTGTCTTTTGAATTGTTTGTCTAAAGTCAAGGATCTAGAACTGGTACTTATAGTTTTAATGATACAGTCTGGTTATAATGCTGTTTGGAGGAGGCCTCACAGGTAAGAGCACTAACTAGCTACCATCACATGTACTGTACCTTAGCTTGACTTAAATGTATTAAACGTATAATTAAGTGATAGCAAAATATAAATAACTAATGTCATGCAAACATATTAATTTGCTTGATTCCAGTGTTGCATTTAGCACATTGCATACAAACGTTAAGGGATTTTAAGATTCTGAAGTATTATGCTAAAAACTCAATAACTTAGATTATTATTTATAGTTTTGCTGAATAGTTTCATGTCCGCTTACCTTAGAAACGTAAAATGTGACGGCAGTGTGCAGATGGGGAGCATGTTAGCTTAGCTTCTTAGCTTGAGCTAGCTCTGTTACTTCCCAGCTGGAGGCAGCAGGTCCCGCCTCGGCTCCGCCTCTTTGCCCTTATAGAGTGGCGAAGTCCCTCCCCTTCCGGTTGAGCCCCATGGGACCTTATTTCGGAAAAGTTATGCATTGAAGTCAATGGAGAGAGAAAGATTATCTTTCGATCCCGTTTGAATTGTGCCACGAATTACACATATGATGTTTGTCAATTTAAAAGATAATTTTGCAAGTCAAAAAAAAAAAAATGTGTCGTAAAACTGTGAAGTAACACATTTGTTTGTGTGAAACGCTCAATGAACTACATCTCTGGTCAACAACACACGTCACCAAGATGGCCGTCACTACTGTCTTGTCAACACAACGATTGACTATCCTCACTATGACCACAATGAAACACGTCCTGAAGAATGTCATGCAAAGCTGCCTGCCTGCCTTCCTTTGATTCTCTCTGAACTGCCTGGTCGTTTTAATGTTTAATGTCAACCATTTGTGCAGATAGCATGAAGTAGAGAAGATCGCCGATGCTAACGTTAGCGTTAGCATTTCTCCCCCGGGCTTAAATGGTGTATTATAGAATGATCACACCGGTGACAGTACTATTCAAAGGGTTCACGAAATATGACTACTACTCTTACTGTTTAACATTTTGGGTTACTTAATGTTACTTCATGTTAAGGCTAATAAAAATGACAAGGCTGTAATGCTAACTAACGTGCTAGCTACTAGCTAGCTTGATCCACACACTCTTCTTTCATCAGACGGGAAGCGAAAGAACGAGCAAGACCCATTGCTGGTATAATAACAACCTGGTACTAAGCACACAGGCATCTTGTGAAAGTTATCTTATCTTAGCCAGCGCCATATAGATAGATTCTATCTATATGGCGCTGATCGTATATATACGGTATTATACGTATATCGTAGTGTCTCAATTGTGACATCACTTACGCAACTCTGGGATTTGTAGTCTTTCTAGTTGCGTATTTTTCATAGTCTTATATTTCAACAGTTTTACGACAAACTGTGACTTTTTTTACATAGAAATGATTTTTTAAGATTGACAAACATCATATGTGTAATTCATGGCACAATTCAAACGGGATCGAAAGATAAGTTTTCTCTCCCCATTGACTTCAATGCATAATTTTTCCGAAATAAGGTCCCATTACCCGGAAGTAAGTGGGCGTGACTTCGCCACTCTATTTGGAGCAGGCGGGAGTTAGACTCAGACGTCACTGTCGAGCCGTTAGTGGCCGACTCCGCCTACTAAGGGCTTCTCGGCAACTCTGCAGAATCCTATGGGTGACGTCACGGACCCTACGTCCATTTATATATAGTGGGTGTTTCTCAATCGCGAGTAAAGCTGCTTCAGAGCCACTATTTCAAGCATACTACATCATTGAGTGCCGCCGAAGTACTGTTCCAATCTCCAGTATACTTGGAAATCTACCGAGCCCGGCGTACTCCGTTTGGAGAAATATCGAGTCTGCACATGAGTAGACTTCGCGGTCTTAAAATCCCCACAATGCTTTGCGCACGGACCAATTTCCCCAAATCTGTGGCGGAAGATGTAAGGCGGGGCCTCTCATATGACGCACACCTGCACACTTGCTAGCGTGTTCCACACTTCGTTTTCCGAATGCCAGGAAGTATTCTTGACTCGCTTCTGAAGCAAGATGCTCGGCAGACATGTGCTACCAAGCAAGCGTACTCGCGATTGAGAAACACCCACAGTCTATGGTGCAGCCTCGATATTTCTCTAAACGGAGTACGCCAGGCTCGGTAGATTTCCAAGTATGCTGGAGATTGGAACAGTACTTCGGCGGCACTCGATGACGTAGTATGCTTGAAATAGTGGCTCTGCAGCAGCTTTACTCGCGATTGAGAAACACCCTGAGGAGCGAGGAAATGAAAAATAAGAGAAGTGAAACGCAGCCCCTGTGACGGAGGGCAGAGGAAAAGAGGATTTTGACATTGTTGAACAGAGCTGAGACGCCATTACAGGGTGTGAGATCTCTGCTGCGAGACACGTTTGGAGTATATTTGGGGAGAAGTGGAGAGACATTGGAAGTTGGTGAGTCCTGCTATTGAAAATAACTTTAATATCAAATGGCTGAGAAAACCGTTCTTGTTGAAAGTTACCTGAGCTGCCATGTGTGTTCAGAGACTTTCAGAGATCCCGTGTCTCTGGGCTGCAACCACAGCTTCTGTTCGAGCTGCCTGCAGAAATTCTGGGAACAAAGTAAGAACAAAAACTGTCCCATTTGTAAAAGAAAATCTTCTAAAGAATTTCCCGGAGTGAACTTTGCAATGAAGGAGCTGGCTGACTCCTTTGCTGAGAGACAGAAAGCTGGATCATCTGAGACAGAAAAAGGAGAGAAGAAGGTGGAGGTGGTGTGTAGTAAACATCCAGAAGAGCCTAGATTGTTCTGTATGGATGAAGAGAGAGCTCTGTGTCCTGTCTGTGAGTTTTCTCTCCACCAGAGTCACAAGGTGGTTCCTGTAGAACAAGCAGTCAGTGAGCTGAAGGACCTGCTGAAATCTGACTTAGAGTCTCTGCAGGACAAGAGGGACAAATACAAAGGAGTGGAGGAAACATACAATAAAGTGATTCAAGTGTCCGAGAAGCAGCTGCTGTCCACAGAGAGGCAGATCAGAGCAGAGTTCATCAAGCTCCATCAGTTCCTGAAAGAGGAAGAGGAGTCCAGACTGGCAGCTCTGAGGGAGGAAGAGGAGCTGAAGGGGAAGACTATCAGCAGAGAGATGAAGAGCATTCAGGAGCACATCTCCTCTCTGTCACACAGTATCTCTGCTGTTGAAGAAGAGCTGCAGAAACACAACGGGCCCTTCCTCAGCAGTTACAAAGCCACTCAGAGCAGAGCCAGAGTCCAGAGCTCACTGTCAGACCCACAGCTGCTCTCAGGAGCGCTGACAGATGTGGCCAAACACCTGGGCAACCTGTCCTTCAGAGTCTGGGAGAAGATGAAGGACCAGGTCCACTTCAGTCCTGTCATTCTGAACCCAAACACTGCACGCAGCTGGCTCTCTCTGTCTGATGATCTGACCAGTGTGAGACAAGGAGACAAAGATCAGCAGCTTCCTGATAATCCAGAGAGATTCACTAAGTATGCTCATGTTCTGGGCTCTGAGGGCTTCAGCTCAGGGAAACACAGCTGGGAGGTGGAGGTGGGAGATCATCCTGCCTGGAGTATAGGTTTGGCTAAAGAGTCAGTTGACAGGAAGGGAGAGATACGTGGCTCACCAAAATATGGAATCTGGTCTTTAAGACATCGCAGTGGAAAATACACTAATGGTGCTGGTAAGACTGTCAGAGTGGAGAAGAATCTCCAGAGGATCAGAGTCCAGCTGGACTATGAGAGGGGGGAGGTGTCCTTCTACGACCCTAAAGACATGACTCCCATCTGCACTCTCAGAGACACTTTCACTGAGAAACTCTTCCCATATTTCAGTATTTTAAAAGCTGGTGATGCTAAAACTGCTGATATCAAAATCTGTCAAAGTGAGATTTCTCTGTGATGTTCAGGAGTGTTGGTTCAGACTTTATTCTGACTTCGTCTGTCTAGATCCTTTTGAAATAATCAAGGTAAAAAACAACAGATGATAATCAGAATTTAATTTGAGTCTGTAAGATTTTAAATGTTAAGAAGATTTGATCAGGTTTTATTTACAGAGTTTTACACGTTTTACTCAAAGTCTCAGTGCAACAAAACTAATCATTTGTTTATTTTTTATAGTTTATCATTTTGTTATACTTTATTATCATGTTTTTATAGCTTTAATGTCATGAGATTGTTTGATTGTTTTTTGTGAATTCTTGGCTTTTAAGAAATGTATTCATTTTGTATGTCGTGCTGAAACTGCATGAAATCAACCAAACTAACAAATGAAAGCTGTCAATTCTCCTTTTATCAACATCTAGTTAATAATGACACACTATATAGCACTATAAGTCATGAGTTTAACTTTCTGATATTTGTAGGTCTTTTGATGAATTATGTTTAGATATGGATATATTGTTTTACTCTCCACAGGCAAGTCATTTAATACTTCTATTTCATTCTTTCATTGTTGCAATGTTTCTTTGGGACGTTTTCCGTACTGTATACATGGACAATAACATTTATTGTGATTGAAAATGTAAATGTTGTTATCAACCTAAAAGGAATCACAGCTGTAGAATGAAGTTTAGTATTTGTAATGCTGCTTCAGATATCTTATGATTCAATAACCAGCAGTTTGATGCAGAAATGTGTCTCTGAACTTGATATTGGTTTCTTCAGGTGAATCTGTCATATGTGACAAATTACAAATATAAATGACAAAAGACAATTGTACAACAAACTATAATATAAATAAATAATTCTTAATGATTTAATCTCTTCTTATTTTTTGCATTGCATCCCTTCAAACATCTGTTTTAACCTCAACATGAATTGACAGCCAAACTCATGAAATCTACATTTCCTTTTGTGAAGTCATGTTGTTAACCTGCTGTAAACAAAGAAGCTCCCACCCTGATGAAGGAGAATCAGCAGAAAACATGTGAGGGGTAAAGCATGGCATACTGGAGTTGTGCCACGTGTTTGATTTGATGGAGTTGTTTTGATTCTCTCTTAGAAACAGTCAGGAGTCACATTTACCTTTCTCCAACTCCACTGCAGCATTATAACATAACAAGTAGCTTCAACATTAAAAAGAGTAATGCATTACAATCACTTCCTGCTAAATACATATTTATTCACTATGATACTCTGTCTTCATTTACTTCAAATCCCAATGATCCAGTTGTTGATCAGCTGTGTTATTTAAAGGTCACCTATCATGCTATTTTTAGGCAATAGCATAGGTCTCAGATATATAAAAAGATATAAAAAACATGTCTATGAAGTGTTTTGCTCAAAATACCAAACAGATCACCCATTCTAGCCATGCCTCATTTCCTCTATTTCACTTCCTGTTTCAAATGTGCTGATTTGGGATATAAAACTTAAAAAAGAAAAAAAAATTGATTTAAAAAGAAAAGAGGGGCGGAGCTTATGCGGGACCCGGCAGCTACTGTCTAAACTAAATACTGCCGTGATGAAACGCCATATCATGGATTATCAAGGATTATTTCTGAAACAGTATGGAGCTCAAAGGCTTTCTCTCTTGCCGGTTATACCACAAGGTGAGTTCCTTTTTATTTCCTGCTTCTTCACACACATGCTCTCCAGTACAGGTTAGCTCTGAGTGTTAGCGATGCTAATGTAAACATGCACCGACCATATTACGTCCAAAACAGTCGGGCATTATTTCTGATAGCAACTTTCTGATGGGGCCGTGGGTGTAAAGCCAGCCTACATTTCCGATATTACGCCGTATCGGACGCAAATCTGGATCAGCCCCGTTTTTAGAGATTTGAGTACGGAGGAAAAGAGAGAGGGTTTTATTTTCTGAGGCTGCGTGAGTTCCCCGACACACCGGGGACACATATTTATGTATAAAAGACATGAAAAAGTGCATTTTGCATGATACAGTAGGTCCCCTTTAAAGTAAGACTTATTGCCGGTATTTCTCACTTAATCTAGCTAGGTAAACATGGTTTATATAAAAAGTAAACTAGTATTTCCCCTTTAACTTTTTTTGTTATAATTCACTTGCCTTAAATACTACAATTTACTTTTATAATTTAGTTTTTAATCAATTAACCTAGCTTGAAGACAGAAACTGTATATTTATATATACTGTGAGGTTCAAAGCATAATAGCATTTAATAAATTAAGTGGTAAACCTGTCATGAGCCCCCCCAGAGTGATATCAAATAAAGGTTTGGTACTTACATATCCACGTTCCAGACTTACATCTCCTCTGCAGAAACGTTGAAGCTGGTGTAAACATCTGGAAGCTGAAAACAATTTACTTCAATCTTTCATAAGAGGCCCTGTTCTGTCTGTTTGGGGCGTTCCTCTGCTGTAGTGTAATATAGGTTTTAGTGCATGTGAATGGTCTCAGAGGCTAACATCCCTGTGTTCCTCCAGAGGGAGTTTCTGTCCTGCCTGAAACGCCTCCATTGGACTCCTTTGTTTACTTCTGTAACATAAGCCGCTTTCACACCAAGTACTTTGCCGTACTTAGTTCCCAGTACTTAGTCCCGCCGAACTCTTTAGTCTCGTAAACTGTCTTAGTAAATCGCATTCACACCTGAATAAGTCCCTGAGGGAGGATTAGGCAAATGAAGCCGCTGACGTCACTTCTTCTTCTTCTTCTGCTTTGGGTTTACTGGCAGGCCGCAAACAACTTCACGGCGTATACTGCCACCCGAGTCCCGAGTAAATCGGCAGAGCGCCGATACCTCCTCATCACTCCACCGATCCCACGTTTTATTTTGTGTTGCCATAAGTTAGTCTCTCTGCGTTTCTGCGCTGGGCTAATGCTAATGCTAATAATGCTAATGCGAGCAAATAAAATGCCGGCTTCACAAAACTTTTTGGGAGTTTTACGGGGCGTGGTTTGCAATCCGCCCAGCCAATCAGAAATTGGAACCTTTTTCTCCCACGAAAGTACCTGCTCTCTAGCAGGGACTAAAAAGGTTCTCATGAACTAAGTTCTAGTTCCAGATATTTTTGGTGTGAAAGCAAATTCCCAAGAACTATCGGAACTATTCCTGGGAAAAGTACTCCGGTGTGAAAGCGCCTATTGTGACATCACTATGTAACACCTGCGCTTCTATTGGCTAGCGCTCCAACACATTGAACATTAAAGCACGGAAACATGTCACAGGAAATACAGGAAATCTGAACCTGAAGTTAAGCAGAGAACGACCCCTTTAAACAAACACTGAGGAAATAAAGAAACCCTCACAGCTTCAGATGGATTTCAGTTCATAATCTTTCATATTATATCATGTGCAGTGGCGACTGGTCATTAGGGGCATGTGGGGCACAGCCCCACCTAGTGTCAGCAGAAAGTATTACACATAATGATTACAAAAAATGCAAAGAGATGCAAAAAAAGAAATACAAAAATATATAAAATATATTTTAAGGTCATGTTTAATCATCTGATTCGTCTGTACATTGCTGTTTTAGTCTGTGTTCTTCTAATTAGTGTCTACAGTGCCGTTTTGACCCATGTGGGACAAAACCTGACCATGCCCCACCCACTCACTGTCAAAGTGAACGGTGACTCTAAAAACTACACTGCGCATGCTCAGAGTATTTTTCAATGTAATGTGTGCGGCAAAAAAAAAAAGACCAAAGGGGCACAGAGCTGCCATCCCCACCATACGTCATCTCACATCATTCAGAGCTGATTGGCTGTAAGTACGTGTACCGCGAAAAGTGTGCTGTGTGAAGAGGAGACGAGAGAGCTGCAGTGACGCGTCCTAAAACCAGGAAGTAAGCTGCAAAAAAGCAATGAGGTTTCTACATACTGTAGGATTTTAGAAAATAGCTCGAAATAAGATCTGTGGGAAACGTACCTGTTAGATAAATGCACGTTTTGTTCAGCCGGATAATATCCACATGTCTACCCTACTTTTATAATTTTTTTATCATAAATCTATCGATTAGATTTATGATAGACTTTTGAAACTACAAGAAGATAAGGAGGACTTTTACAAAAAAGTTATAGAAATGTTTGTCCAGAAGGATAGGCAAATGGACTTCATCTTCAAGTCAAGGTAAGACCGCAATTTTATTGAAAATGGGATCTTACTAAGAGAGAACAATTCAATATTTAAATGATAAAATTACATTTTTTGGGTATCCTTTTGTTGAACTGTCTGTTTAAAATTAATCGAAGCATCAGACAAAAAAAGCTTTTGAAAATAATATTATATTTTGGCTTAGGTCAAAATGTAATATTTGTAAACCTGAAGAGTCAGTGCCAGTGCCTCACCAGCCATGAACCTCACTGCACGTCACTGCAGAAGCTTATATATAGACATCTAAGTTTTTTGTGCCCCACCACTTTTGTACTTATAAAAACGCCACTGATCATGTGTACTCTGATATTGGAAGAGTACATTCAGGATTTTCCCAACACATTTAAACAGAACAGGTGTGTGTGTGTGTGTGTGTGTGTGTGTGTGTGTGTGTGTGTGTGTGTGTGTGTGTGTGTGTGTGTGTGTGTGTGTGTGTGTGTGTGTGTGTGTGTGTGTGTGTGTGTGTGTGTGTGTGTGTGTACCTGATGAGCGTGGTCCAGCAGGAGCGTCCGTCCAGGCAGCGAAGGTAACAGCTGATCGTTGTTTTCTTGAACTGCTTCACGTCCTCCAGCTCTTCTTCTCTCATGTCGGCTCTCTGAGCCACGAACAGCTGCATCAGGTTGAACAGCTCCTCCACCGCCTGCAGGGGGCAGCACACACCTTAGTTTAGCATTTACAATATTGGGTATTTTAGATCGCAGTACTGTACTTAAGTACATTTTTCTGGTATCAGTACTTTACTCCACTACTTATTTTTCTGACGACTTTTTACTTTGACTTCTTACATTTTGAACCCAAATACCTGTACTTTCTACTTCTTACATTTTCCAAACAGGCTGGTTACTTTAGTTTGAATGTGTGTTTGGTGGCGTGATCATTATTATTTAGAGTCAATGCGTGCCTATTGATTTGAACACGATCCGTGTATCCATCATTTCCTGGTCTTCTCTAAAGAAGAGAGACCAATGAAAACGTAGTCATGTTGCCGTTGTTCAGCATGGAAACATTCATTAGCTAACAATGACATTATTGTTCTATTAATATAAAGGGAGGTCAGGTACTCTTTAAAACAGCTGCTAGTATATCAGCATGTGAAGGACACTGTTCAGGAACTAGGTGATGCTCTGTATGTGATGACTACTTCCAATCTGGAGAGGATCAGAAATACATGGATCCTGAGATTGAAGCTCAAGCCGGTGACCAGTGAGATGTTTTCTCCATGTTATTAACATGTGTCTCCTGCAGGTCTCTGGGTGCAGCTCTGGGCTTCACCGTGAACATCCTGGAGGTGTGGAGCTCTAACGGAGGATCGTCCAGAGCGAGCGCCTCCATCAGGACTCTGATCAGCTTCATCTCTGAGGACGGAGGGAAGGTGGTTCCCTCGGAGGACGTCACGCAGTAAGAGCTGCTGTTTAATGTGTGATATTGACGTTAACATGCAGAGATTTACTTACAAGTTATTACAAAGAAACCAGAATATATGTTAGCGGTGGAAAGTCACCAAGTACATTTACTAAAGGTACTTTTTCTTTCCATTGATTTAAGTGTAAATCTAATCAACTTCATCCGAGAGGAAAATATTTGACTTCATTATGTTATTAATGACAGTTAATGACCTTGTATATATGGATTTTCCAAACAGTTATGATGAGGTTATAGAATATGATGTTGTTACAATCAAACCATCCAACAGTTGAGAGAAGTACAGCTCTCCTGATAACTTCAATTCATCCATTGACAGAAAATGTATCTGCTATATTTTGATAATCATATCAAATATGTCCAGCTTCTTAAATGTGAAGATTTGCTGCTTTGAGAGTAGAAATAAACAATTCTAAAATTTGAAAATTGAAGTTGAAATACCAATTTACAGTAAACTAAATATAAAGCATGATATTATATACATTAAGTGTACATTAAATGTTTTGGTAAAACAAACATTGTGAAGGTGTTACTTTGGGCTCTGGGTAATTATGACGTTATTTCTCAATGTTTTCTATCTTTCTTTACAAACCAAAAATTGATGGTGAAATGGAGAAAATGGTGATTAAAATACAAAAATAATAAATAATTTGTATATCTTAAGTACATTTTCTTTTTTTGAAAAGCATTTAATGCAGGCCTTTAAGTGATTTCTGCAGAGTGGTGATCACACTGGATCTGAAAGTATCATTACATGAGTCCTGTTCCTCCTTTGAAAAACAGAAAAGCTATTTAAGTATCAACTCCAAAACCAACGTTTGTCTGCACTTCCCATCAGTTAGAAGATGTGTGTGTTACCTCTAACATCCCCCTCCCCCCTCCTGCAGGAAGCTTCAGAGCCAGGCTGCGGCTGTGAGGGCGGAGCTGGTCAAAGTGTTCGGGGACGGGCTGCTCTTCGATGTGGAGATAGAACCTGAAGGTCCCGCCTCCAGCCAGCCGGCGCTCATCGCTCTGGGCGTCCTGCTGGCGCTGAGCATGCTGGGATTGATCGTTGCTGTGGCCTTCATCATCAGGTGAGAGAAGAGATGTCGTCATTAAAGCATGTCGGTATCATCTTTATCGTCTTTAAAGGCCTGCTTGTTCTCCCGTGCTTTTGCAGACCACGTGTAAGACGTATCAGTCTGTGTTTTCTAAATTGGGGTTTTCTATTTTGTTGTGTTTTAAAATGTTTCTACATCATGTATGAGGGTTTTCAGTCCGTGGCTATAAGTATGGTTTCATTGTCTCGTGCTTTTACATTTGTTTCTTTTTGTCCTATCGGTTTTGTCTAAATGTATTTATGCTGCTTTTTTATATATGTATTGATGTACAGCACTTTGGTCAACTCTGTTGTTTTTAAATATATAAATAAAGTTGGATTGGATTGGATTACACCCTGGAGAGAGAAATGACACAATGCAGGTTTAATATGAGTCTTTAACGTTAGATGGGGTTGACCTCAGAATTCTGACGGTTTTCTATCTGAGGCAAATTATTAATTTGTTGAGGATATTCTAAATATACTGTACACATATAAACTGATAGGGCTTACATAGTTTACCTGAAGAGCTATCGCATGATGTCAAAGTTCTGCACACATCTTTCATAAATGCATTATGCCTTTTCCTCTAGGAGCTCTTTATGTTCACACCGTTTGACTTTAATGTCCCTGGGGTTTGTCATTTATCACCAGAGAGGGCAACAGTACACGCATCCTTTACTCAAGTAGAAGTACACACATCCTTTACTCAAGTAGAAGTACACACATCCTTTACTCAAGTAGAAGTACAGATACTCGTGTTTAAAAATACTCTGGTAAAAGTAGAAGTACTGACTAAACTTCTTTACTCAAGTTAAAAGTAAAGAGGGCTTTGAAATGTACTTCAGTAAAAAGTACCCATAACTAGCAGCTGTTTTAAAGAGTACCTGACCTCCCTTTATATTAATAGAACAATAATGTCATTGTTAGCTAATGAATGTTTCCATGCTGAACAACGGCAACATGACAACGTTTCCATTGGTCCCTCTTCTTTAGAGAAGACCAGGAAATGATGGATACACGGATCGTGTTCAAATCAATAGGCACGCAATGACTCTAAATAATAATGATCACGCCACCAAACACACATTCAAACTAAAGGAACCAGCCTGTTTGGAAAATGTGAGAAGTAGAAAGTTCAGGTATTTGAGTTCAACATGTAAGAAGTAGAAAGTACAGGTATTTGTGTTCAACATGTAAGAAGTAGAAAGTACAGGTATTTGTGTTCAAAATGTAAGAAGTAGAAAGTACAGGTATTTGTGTTCAACATGTAAGAAGTAGAAAGTACAGGTATTTGTGTTCAAAATGTAAGAAGTAGAAAGTACAGGTATTTGTGTTCAAAATGTAAGAAGTAGAAAGTACAGGTATTTGTGTTCAACATGTAAGAAGTAGAAAGTACAGGTATTTGGGTTCAAAATGTAAGAAGTAGAAAGTACAGGTATTTGTGTTCAACATGTAAGAAGTAGAAAGTACAGGTATTTGGGTTCAACATGTAAGAAGTAGAAAGTACAGGTATTTGGGTTCAAAATCTAAGAAGTAGAAAGTACAGGTATTTGTGTTAAAATGTAAGAAGTAGAAAGTACAGGTATTTGTGTTCAAAATGTAAGAAGTAGAAAGTACAGGTATTTGTGTTCAAAATGTAAGAAGTAGAAAGTACAGGTATTTGTGTTCAACATGTAAGAAGTAGAAAGTACAGGTATTTGTGTTCAAAATGTAAGAAGTAGAAAATACAGGTATTTGTGTTCAAAATGTAAGAAGTCAAAGTAAAAATATGAGTCTCTGGATGAATGAAGGTAGAAGTGTCACATTTTAAAATGACGACGTGTTTCCTCTCTCAGGTTCAAGAGGAGTCAGAAACACGAGCAGGATTCAGACAAGGAGAGTTTTGACATCGGGCGAAACGCTGAAGGTTACACGTGAGTCCTCCACAAACTCCTCATGGTCTTCCTCACTCTTCCTCACAGCGTCCGTCTGAAGACTTCTAATGAAATCTGTTTGTTACAGGAACAAGTCTCTGAACGGGGCGGAAGCGTCTGAACAGGTACGAAGAAGACGCATTCAAAGTGTCACAATATAAATACTGATAGTCAGCTTGTGATATCATATTTCAAAGTCTTCGACATTATCAAACACATCCATATTACCACGATATCGTAGGGTTCACTATTGGTGCTTCCATCAAATATTTACATACTGTAATTTTGATAAATAATCTGGAGATAAGGACTCGGAAAGACAAATAAAAATGTGATAAATAAATCAAACAGAAAACACTTGTATCAACTATCACAATATTGATTTATTACCCAGCCCTGAAACAACACTACTACAAGTAAAATAAGTATTTAAGTATCACAGTATTAGTATTTAGCCTGTCAGTGTTTTACTATTATTTAATTTGTTTCTGGATTAATATTACTGCTTTTTAGATGTTTATGGTGGTGCTAATGTTAACTCCTTCATATGATGATGGGTCGTTTAATCTACACAACGCATCATACTCATTTATTGATATTGAAAATATAAAAGTATCATTTGTTTGTAGCTTCGTCCTAAGACAACTCATATCCTTTCCTCACTTTCCTAAGAAAAACCCCCCTGTTTCAGCTTTGTGATGATGCATTTTCCTGCTGATCCAAGAGGGGTTTTAAAGACTTTATTTAGATTAATAAGTAGGAGAATTGTATCAACACATAAACTGGACAGGAAAAGTACAACATTTCCCTGTGAAATAAAGTAGAATGAATTGAAAATACTCAAGTTAACTAGCATGAATGTATATTTAAAGGTCACCTATTATGCAAAATCCACTTCTTCATGTCTCTTCTTCATCAACATGTGTCCCCTCTTCTTCATGTCTCTTCTTCATCAACATGTGTCCCCTCTTCTTCATGTCTCTTCTACATCAACATGTGTCCCCTCTTCTTCATGTCTCTTCTACATCAATATGTGTCCCCTCTTCTTCATGTCTCTTCTACATCAACATGTGTCCCCTCTTCTTCATGTCTCTTCTACATCAATATGTGTCCCCTCTTCTTCATGTCTCTTCTACATCAACATGTGTCCCCTCTTCTCCATGTCTCTTCTACATCAACATGTGTCCCCTCTTCTTCATGTCTCTTCTACATCAACATGTGTCCCCCTCTTCTTCATGTCTCTTCTACATCAACATGTGTCCCCTCTTCTTCATGTCTCTTCTACATCAACATGTGTCCCCTCTTCTCCATGTCTCTTCTACATCAACATGTGTCCCCTCTTCTTCATGTCTCTTCTACATCAACATGTGTCCCCTCTTCTTCATGTCTCTTCTACATCAACATGTGTCCCCTCTTCTTCATGTCTCTTCTACATCAACATGTGTCCCCTCTTCTCCATGTCTCTTCTACATCATCATGTGTCCCCTCTTCTCCATGTCTCTTCTACATCAACATGTGTCCCCTCTTCTTCATGTCTCTTCTACATCAATATGTGTCCCCTCTTCTTCATGTCTCTTCTACATCAACATGTGTCCCCTCTTCTTCATGTCTCTTCTACATCAACATGTGTCCCCTCTTCTTCATGTCTCTTCTACATCAACATGTGTCCCCTCTTCTCCATGTCTCTTCTACATCAACATGTGTCCCCTCTTCTTCATGTCTCTTCTACATCAACATGTGTCCCCTCTTCTTCATGTCTCTTCTACATCAACATGTGTCCCCTCTTCTCCATGTCTCTTCTACATCAACATGTGTCCCCTCTTCTTCATGTCTCTTCTACATCAATATGTGTCCCCTCTTCTTCATGTCTCTTCTACATCAACATGTGTCCCCTCTTCTCCATGTCTCTTCTACATCAACATGTGTCCCCTCTTCTTCATGTCTCTTCTACATCAACATGTGTCCCCTCTTCTTCATGTCTCTTCTACATCAACATGTGTCCCCTCTTCTTCATGTCTCTTCTACATCAACATGTGTCCCCTCTGTGGAAAGAGACTCTGAAAGTTTCAGGAACAAAGATTCTCTCTCTTTTTGCCCTGATCCATTTATATAAAAACTTGTCTGAAAATGAGCTGATCAGATTTTGGCCACTTTTTGATGTCATAATGATGTTTATAGCTTGTGTATCCATTAGCCAATCAGCAACCAAGGTAACCCCCCCCCCCCCCCCACCTTATCACCTGAATCTCCTCCTAGAGCACCATTGTGTTCTTTGTAACCAAATCTCTCTCAGAGGGGCGTGGGGAGGGGCTCCTTATTTTCATCTAAAGTAACAGACAGAGAATCAGCACTTTGGAAACAGGGCTGAAACAGAGGGGATTATGGGATGCTGCAATGATCTGTTTGGTGTTTCAGCCAATCAGAGACATGTTCTGTATATATCTGAGACCTGTAATATATTGATGAAAAAAAGAGTATAGTAGGGGACCTTTAAAGTATTTGATTAAATGTCCTGTATTTGTTTCATTGACAGACGAGGGAACAGGAGAATGCAGCAGAGGACGGAGACAGTGTGAGGTTTAAAGCAAACGCTCAGTGGAAGAACGAGGAGAGAGACGGAGAGGAAAGCAGAACGACTCTCTGATCTGAAAACAGCTGATTCACTCTGAACAGTCTGCAGAGCGCCAACGACATCACGACTGATATTTAAATATATTTAAAGCAAGTCACTTTGTGTTAAAGATTAGAAACATTACAAGCCGTCTGCTTCCTAAATATTTAGACTTATCGAGCAGTTTCAAATACACCTTGGTCCAAAGGCTGCTAATTGACGCTATAATTGATAAATGGATGTTTGATACAGTGATCTCCATACTGAGCAAGTCCATGAAATGCTGCTGAAAGCTCTGGAAAAAGATAGTTAATTGATCATTTTTAGATCTTACATTTATTATTGTAATGACGGACTAGATTAAATGACAGTCAGATTTTTAAAGTGTCAAAAAGTGGCGCTCTCCAGACTCCAGACAAACACAAACATCACAGCAGCAGATTTGATTGAAATTGACTCGACGAGAATCAGCTGCAGTCGTGTTCAGATTGAGTTTTTATTTTTAAACAAATCCTCTGATCAGCCTGAGCAATACGAAACAAATCATAAATAAGATGGTGCTTTATTCTGAGAAGACGATTTATTCTGAAAGCAGGTAAAATGTTCTCACCTCAATTCAATTTGAAGTCGAGGGAAAATAATGAAATACTGGACAGAAAGTCTCATCAGGACGTCTGTGTTTCTGTACAGAGACTCTTTATCATCAGCCTGTCGATTCAATTTACTCAATTGTATTTTGTCGTAAACTACTGTAACCAAACATGTTTATAATTTAACAAATATCTGATGTTCAAATGTCACTTTTTATTTCCAGACAAACATTTGATCTATCTTTGCACTTTATTTGCAAAAATGTAAATAATATTTCTGGAGCTCTGTAGTAACACTGGACCATAAAACATCTGTATAATAAAACATATTTTAAATTGTATCATTTCAAATGTTCTGCTTTTTTGATTCCAGACGTGTTGCTGCTTTTACATATTTTACTGTAACACACATCTAGATGTAATGTAGGGAAAGTAATCAACTGAACATCAGCCATGAGTTTCTCTTAAAGGTCACCCATCATGCTATTTATTTATTATTTATTTAACACACACACACACACACACACTTTTGTTAGCCCCGGGTCACCCTGTATGTAATGTCAATGTGTAGGTGGGAGGGGGGGTACAGTGGGTGGTCATTGAAAATGTGTTCTGATAAATGTTCTACACAGAAAATGAGCCAAGGCCATTGAGTGTGAGTTTGAAAAAATAATTGATCATATCATTTTTCTTTAGCTAAATAATGTAAACGGGTCCCACAGACCCGAACACCGTACAAGGGTTAAGTTTAGATTGAACACTGGTCAGATGATCAAACAGAGGAAACAAATGGGTTAAAAACATGTTTGAGTCAGAACTTGAAAGTCTTCCAGATTCTAAAGTTCATCTTTCCAATATATCTGCTGGTCATAAAAACAGATGACTGCATTTCTATCAATGATTAACTAGTAAAAGAGATTAGAGGGATTGAAAGTGAATGCTGACATTGTTGAAGAGAGCCTTGACACCAGTACACTGTGGGAGATCTCCAACAACACAGTTAGAGGACTGTAAGAGGCAAGCCGAGGGGAAGTACAAGGTGAGCTGCTTCTTGAAGTTTCCTGAGCTGCCATGTGTGCTCAGAGACTTTCCCTTACGCAAAGAAAATATATTTCCCCATATATTAACTGTCAATATATTGCATTATTTTGTTTTCTGATTTACTGGTTAATTGAAAAGATTTAATAAAGGAAATCTTGCTGTTGGCTACACCAAGTGATACTGATTAATAATCAACATGAAAAACATATTTATTCATATCTACAAAATATATTGAAAATATATTGAAGATATATAGAATAATATATTGTGTTAATATATTACAATATATATTGAATAATATATAGTGATAATATATTGTAATATATGGGATAATACATCAGTAATTGCCGCTTTCCATATATTGAGTAATATATGTAAATATATATAATATATTGGTTGTGTATATATGTGAACATACATTTACTATATATTAACATTTATATGGGGACATGTACTATATATATTCACAAATATATGGGGACATGTATGTACTATATATTCAGTTTTATATGGGGACATATATGTAGAATATATTCACAATTATATGGGGACATGTACTATATATATTCACAAATATATGGGGACATGTATGTACTATATATTCAGTTTTATATGGGGACATATATGTAGAATATATTCACAATTATATGGGGACATGTACTATATATATTCACAAATATATGGGGACATGTATGCTCTATATATTCAGATTTATATGGGGACATGTATGCAGAATATATTCACAATTATATGGGGACATGTACTATATATATTCACAATTATATGGGGACATGTATGCAATATATATATTCAGATTTATAAAAGACCATGTACGTACCATATATTCTGAACATGAGTGCAATATGTGTTCACAATGAGGAGAAATGCATGTTCTGATAAAAAAAATCTTTCATTTAATTTCAAACCTTTATTTATGCAGGTGAATCCCATTGAGATCATTGATCTCTTTTTCAAGGGTGACCTGCTGCAAGTAGGTTCCACATGAATACATATAAACATAACAGAAAAACAAAAAAGGACATCATACAGCATATTTACAGTGACTACAGTTTACATAGCTAGTAACATTTACAGGTTCCAACAGTTTCCGATTGGATAGCATCTATCCTTGCTTTAAAAACATTTAGTGGAACCAAATTGCTCAGACTGTTCCAAGTTAGCGGAGCTGCGCATCTAAATGCTATCTTCCCTAAGACAGTCCTAGCAGTTGGCACATTTAATAAAACCACAGCATTCGATCTCAGGCAGTAGCCACTTACAATTCGCCGTGAGATCAGGGAGCAGATGTAGGAACGAAGTTTCCCTAACATGGCTTTGTATATAAAAATGTACCAGTGACTGAGCCTCCGTACAGTTAGTGAAGGCAGACCAGCCCTTGCATACAGGGTACGGTGATGGGTTAATGCTTTACAGTTTGTCACAAATCTCAGTGCACTGTGATAGGCGGCATCTAACTTGATCAGGTAATGGGCAGGTGCATTCATATAGATCAGATCACCATAGTCCAGTACAGGTAAAAAGATCACAGAGCCTTTTTCTGGCCTCAAGTGAGAAACAGGACTTGTTCCTGTAAAAGAAACCTAGCCTAACCCTCAGTTTTTTAAGCAGGTTATTGACATGAAGTTTAAAAATGAGACAATCATCAAGCCAGATACCAAGGTATTTGTAACAGGCAACCACTTCAAGTTTTATTCCTTGCGTAATTACAATATCTAAAACAGGCTCTGGTGTCTTTTTTAGTTTTTGAAAAGAGCATTACCTTGGTTTTATCAACATTTAAAAGAAGCTTAAGCTCTGAGAGCTGAGTCTGAATAATGAGAAGCTTAATTTGTTTTTTTCTATCAATGTGTAAGTTATCAAAATACTCATTAAAAGAAGGACAAGGAACGAATAAAAGAAAAGGCCTATAAACAACACAGTATGTAATGACTCAAGAACATTTTTATGTAATTATGTAATAAAACCCACATTTTGTAATAATCTGCTGCATTCTGTAACAGCCTGAACGCAATATAAAATAAATTTCCCTGCATTTTGTAATAAATTATTACATTTTGCAATGGTTATTACAAAATGCGTGAGTTGCCCTTTTAAAAAACTGTAATATTCATTATGTAACCATAACCAAACTGTAAATATATCCCAAAATTGATGTTGATATACATGTTGGCTAATGAATATGGTAACACTTGATCTAGTTTTGGCCAATGAAAGATATTCTACTGAAGTATTTTTAAATTATGAGTAAGGATGATTCATGGTTGAATAAATAAATAAACAGTTGTAATGTTATTGTTTGCAACTCATTTTGTAATAACCACAGCAATATGTAATAATATATTTCAAAATGTGGCGACATGTATTACATATTTGCATTGAACTTGTTTACTACATAATGGGCAAATTATTACAAAAGGAGGTGTTATTACATAATGAAGGGAAAATGTATTACATTTTGTATAGGTATAGTTAATAAATGATGCATTGTTATTTCATACAGGGCCAAAAAGAGCAGTCTGTTATCCTATTTAACAATCTTGTTTTTTGTTTCACCTGGTGACAACTTTAAACATGAGCTGATCACTCATTAAAACAAGGTCCGGAACAGGGCCAAACAGTCTTGTACCCTATTTAATCGTCAATCTTGTTTTTTTCGTGCCTTTACTCACAAATTCTTGTGTTAATGGATGTTCTTATATCTGATGTCTTGGTCCCTGGATGGTGGTTTACTACAGCATCTGTGGAACAGAACAATTACAAATAATTAGAAGTTCACAAAAGACAGCAGGAATTATAACAATATCCATAATATCTATATTAAAGCATGGGCTGGCTTGGTGAATAATGTGGGAATACAAATAGTGGAAGAATAGGCTTTGTACATTTTCGTCTGAGTGTGGCGCTACTGGTTGGTATATTTTATGGAATTTGGACCAAGCATCTGCATCTGTAACAGTTCTGTTTAAAACTTTTTTAAATGTAATTGCATTCATCTTTAAAGGTGGGGTAGGTATGTTTGAGAAACCGGCTCGAGATACACTTTTTGTTATATTCCATGGAATGCTCTTAACATCCCGATAGCAATGAATATCTGAAGTGCTTTGACAAAAAATCCATAAAAAAATATCATCTGTGGAAGCCGTAATACTGTAAAAAGCACGACCAATCATCTGAGCCGGCCCGGCTAAAATAACTGGATGGCCTACCTGCCTGTCAGCCTTCCATCTGTGCACAAACTTATCTCGTGCCCTCATTGGTCATGTGCGTATTTTCAAATTCTAGCGCACTCGAGCTGGTTTCTCCAAAATTACCTACCCCACCTTTAAAAGATTACTTTTATTGAATGAGAGTTTTACCTAGCACAATGAGCCTGGGGTGGTGGGAAGGGAGAACTGGGCCTCGGCATCGGCATCGGCAGGAGTGGTAGTCGCCTATGAGTATTAGAATTTAGATTAACAAAGGCATAGAAAAACCCTAAAATATGTACTGACACAAAGCTACAACCCTCGATTTTGTAAGTAGTAGTAGTAAATACATACGTATATACAATATACAACAATACGCATAATGCAATTAGCAGTACCAGTAATAAAATAACTGAATAAATAGTAGTAGAACCTTTATTTAGGCAGGAAAATCAATTAAGAACAAATTCTTATTACAATGATGACCTGACAGGAGGCAAAAGGCGTCCTGAGGGGATGGGGTTTGGGAGGAAAAAAATAAAAAGACAGACTCCGGGCACTACAGAACCCAGGAGACAACACAATGACACAGAGCAGAGATGACAGGCATAGCAGTTAAACATATAACATCTCTAAAACAATATTGCTGTGGTTCAATCTGTCATTAAAATAATATAGAACATTCATCCATTCAATCATTCATTCCTTCATGGCAAGGATAACTAAGCTGAATAGTGAATAAAGTGATATGTGAAAAGTAAAATTACAGTGAAATTAAATGACAGTGCGTTCCTCACCACTGCGATCTGGCTCCTCTGTCCTCGTGTGTTTTGGGTCTGATTCCTCACTACTGATGGCTGCCTCTCTGCATGGGCCCTCTCTCCTTCTTTATTCTGTCTCAGTCACCACTGCTATCTGGCTCCTCTGTCCTCTTGACTTGTGGTTCTGCAGGCTTAGTTCGACCTATGAATTTCAACAATGCTCCTGTAAAATATATAGATATATAGTATTATGGGTCAACATTAAAATAACATACACTGGAGAGCAAAATGTGAAATGCCATTGACTGTAGGCTACATATTATCCACACAA